AATAAATAAATAAATAATAAAGTATTTACACAAAAATTGCATATGAATGTTTATATTTCTTAATAATTGCTAAAATCTGGAAAACAACCCAAATGCCTATCAAATAATGTACAGGCAAACAAATTAAAAGCATACAGTAGAATAGTACTCAGCAACAAAAATAAATAATGTATAAATGCAATGTAGTAGGTTGAATTATTGCCCTCCAAAAAGAAATGTTTAACTCCTAACCCCAAAACCTGAGAATATAAGTGATCTCATTTGGAAGTAGAATCTTTGCAGCTGTAATCAAGTTAAAGTGAAGTCATACTAGATTAGGGTGAACCCTAAACCCAATGACGTGTGTCCTTACAAAAGAAAAGAAAGGGAAGTTTACATCCAGAGGCTTTCAGACACCTTAGCAAGGAGGCAGAGATGGGGCAGAGGCAGGGACATGGGATGGGAGACAGACAGAGCTACAAACTAAGGCGTCCAGCAACCAATGCAAACTAGGAAGAGGCCGAAGGAAAGATGGACCCACTGGAGCCCTCAGAGAGAGCCTAGCCCTGCTGACATTTTCACATTTCTGGACTCCGAACTGAGAGGATAAATTTCTCTCGTTTTAAACCACCAAGTCTGTGGTACACAAGAACAACTGTGCCCATGCAACAATATAGATGAATCTGAAATATGGGAAGTTAATTTAGAGAAGCACAAAGAAAACTATATACATCCAATTCCATCCACAGAACCCTCAGGAAAAGACAAAACTACAGACTGGGGCTCACCAGAAGCTGGAGGGAGGGTGAGAACCAATTACCCGGTACGCAAGGGAAATCCTGTGGCAAAGGAATTATTCTATATTTCTATTGTGATGGTGATTACATGGCATAGAATTGTATATCTTAAAAAGAAAAATTCAAGGCTGGAGATGTAGCTCAGTGGTAGAGCACTTAGCTAGCATGCCTAAGGTGCTGGGTTCAATCCCTAGCCCTGGGAAAAAAGTTCAGAGCCAGGCATGATGGCACACAACTGTAACCCCAGCTTTCTAGGAAGCTGAGACATGAAGACCACAAGTTCATGCATTGGCTGGGCAACTTAGTCATGTAGTGAGATTCTGTCTCCATATAAAAATTTTTTTAAAAGGGCTGAGGAGGGGCTGGAGAGATGGCTCAGTGGTCTAAAGCACCTACTTAGAACAAGCTTACCTAAAGCATCAGGGACCGCGGTTCAATCCCCCAGCACCACATGCCAGCCAGCCCCGCCCCCTGGTGGGCTGAGCTGGCCACACACACACACACCACTCTC